TGTAGATGTATACTCATTCATTCAATACATATTTACTGAGCATCAAACACTGTTCTAGCTGTTTGTTTCACATTAGAGCATAACATGGACAAAAAAATCCTGCCTTTGTGGTGCTTATATTCTTAGGACATGGACAAAAAACATCATAATAAATAAGTAAATTATACAGTTGTCTTAGAAAGTGAGCAATGCTACAGGGGCAAATGGGCGGACAAAGTGATTAGAAATGTCGGTTGAAGTTTTATATAAGATAGCCCTCACTGAGGAAGTGAATTCTGAACAATGACTTCAAGGAAGTAGAGCCAGAGCCACACAGCTATCTGTAGGGGCCAGGGGGACGGAGACGAGGAGGTGAGGCTGGAGAACTAGGGGAGTGGTGTAGACAGTGAGGGTATGCATGTGTGGCTAATATACAGCCTGGTAGTTCGCTTTTTATGTTTTGGCTTTTGAATGAAAGGGAAACCGCTCCCCTTCTCCCACCAAATCTTGGCTAGTTTAGCTATATTTCCCTAAAAAAACTTAAAGGGACACTGTAGTTTTTTTAAGTGCAAAAAGAATGAACTATGTATCCCTGATTGAACCTTTTTAGCAACAGATTTTGCAGGAAGGAACTGCCATATACAAAAAATGGGTTAGAAACACACAGAAAGTTTACACATACATGCACATACACACAGGCACTGAAGGGAACATTCTGGGAGCTACTTTACACAAAAATGCAGGGCTCTAGGTGACTTCTTTATGACAGTCCATATTGTTACTCATTCAATCTATTAAACTAGGATGAATGACAATAAAAATTTCCACATTAGACACAGAAAATAGCTCTAGATTTGTTTACTATTTATGCATTTTACATCATATGATTAACATATAATGCGTGGATGAGTATTTAAAATCACTGAGTTTATAAAAAGTGACTTTTTCTCTAAGTAAACAAGTGTACAATAAAGTAACTTCAAATCTTTTGACCTTACTAAATACAGGTCCTTATCCTAAAGCAATGCTATCTTTAATTATCACTTATTTGTGAATTGTTAGAAAATAATGACACTCAATCAATTCAGAGTCTGAGTTCTACAAATATTAATCAAGATTTCCTCTAACAAAGGCAATCTCTGGGAACATGTAGGTTAAAAGGCCAGCTTCAGAGTAAAATAATATTCTTTATTCACAGTAAGGTCAGATGGAGTTTAGTCAGTCGCCCTGATGTCTTCTTTTCAATAGACAAACTACTTAAACAGGACAATTGAAGGATGACTTCTCTTCAATGTAGGGTAATTATAACTTGTCCATAATGTAATGCAGTGACTCGACTATGTTATTACTTCAAAATAAAAGTAGCATATGATGTGTTTATGACAATGGAATGGAAAAGCCATCAGCATTAACTTCTTATGACTATCTGCATCTCTCTCACATTTTATGACTACTGCCTGTAGGTCTCAAATATAAGGAAGAATTTGCCAGTGAAAATGAGTTACTCGCAAAGGTTATAAAAATATCTTACAGATCTTTCAGTAAAAGCATAAATGTTCACCCTCAGGGATGACTTGGCATCATCTGACCTGAAAGCAAGAATACAAAGTAGAAAACTCTTCAGGTCTAATCTATCCATGTTATTCCTGAAGCCAAAAAAGGCTAAAAATCTTTTTTCTTTTGTCCTATAATCACCCTTCTCTTTAACCATCACTCTCTCTTCTGCTAGACATGAGACTACAAATTTGCTGACATAAATGAATTTGTCCTCTAACTGCTTTCATTATCATTATAAAACTACAATATTTGTTAAAAACTAATTTGAAACCGTTTTACAGCAAAATTTTCAAAACCCAGCCTAAATTAGGTAAAGCAATGATATCATTTAATCAGCTATATGACCAGGTATGTTTTGTTAATCTGTTACCTAGATGAGGAGTTTATGTTTCAAGCAAAATGTAATATGTGTATTGATGTCTACAACTTCCCTGGAAATGCATCAACAAATAAGAGGGTTTGATGTCTGGGTAAAAGGATGAGTAAGTGATAAAGCAAAAACAGCAAAATGTTAACAACTTTAGAACCTTGGAGGCGGCTATATGGGTGTTGACTGTGACATTGTTTCAGCTTTTTTATATGTTTGAAATTTTGCACAATAAATTGTTGGGGAAAATATTACCACATTTGAAACCCGTTTTAAATGGCAAGGGAGAAATGTCAAATCCCACAGAAGAATTCTGCAAAAACCAATAGGCAAGACTTTTGCAGCTTATGTTTGTTGAGCTGAGGGAAAAAAAAAAAAAAAAAAAGATTACCATAATCCCTTTATCTGTCTAGCTCCAGAAAAGTACAAAAAATTTCCACTCTTATTGAGAAATAATGGCAGGTGAAAGCGTTGTTTGTTAAGAATTCTACGTGGTGAAACTAAGTTCCTCTGGCTAAATTTTGAAGCTTAAAAACAAATTATTACTGTTATTTCAGACAATGTTTCACTTCCTTGATTACCCAGAATAACTTTATTTCAATACAGATATATTTCCTGAAAGGAGATAAACCACACCTTCTTCGGATTACTTAATCATCCTTTTTGGCAGTGTCCTTTCGCTGTGAATCTATCTGAAAATATTATTTTTTTAAATCTGAAAATAAAAAACACAAATGATCAACACGTTGGAAAATGTGTTTACCTACTCAATAGCGTGCATATGAACTATATGTTTTGTGTGTTACAAGCCTTTCACTACAAATGACCTTCTAAAGTGGTACTGAGACAGGCATATTTATGTTTGATATTCCATTAATGACTTTTTGGTAGTTATTTAAAACATACCACCCTCTGTATTTAATAAAGATGGAAAAATACGTAACTCAGCTACTAGTGGATAATAATGATTTATGCAACAAACATTTAATACCTTATGTGCGAGGGATAGTGCTAAACCTTAAAGATGAGAATACAAATAAGATGCAGTCCCTGAATTGACTAAATCAAGAGTTTGGTGAAGAAGAAACACAAATGAACAAATATAAAATCTCATACATTGGTTAGTAAGTATATGTAGAGTAATACTGTAATAGAGGAGAAACCTAAATTAGCTTAGCGGGGTGAGGGTCTCTGGGAAGGCTTCCTGAGCTTGGTCTTAAAGAATGGGTATTAGTGATCTAGGCAGGAGAGAATGGGAGACAATATTCTATGATGACGCAGCAGCACAGAGGAACAAAGCAGCATGTTGTGGGCAGAGAACTATAAGCAATTCAGTATTGCTGGAGAGAAAGCTCATGGTATGGAGTGGAGAGAGCTGATGCTAAAAAGGTAGGCAGTGGCCACACCATGAATGATCTTGTGGGGTATGTTAACAAACCTGGACTTTCTCTTGGTCTCAGAAGGATCTAAAAGGGGTGTGATATTTTCAGATTGTGTACCAACTATAACTCTCTGACTCCCTTGAGTGAAGGAGACATGATGATCAGCTACAAGAGTGACAAAATGAGGACCTGAAAACCAAGATGGTGACAGAGGGTATGGTTTCCATTGAGATATACAGGCAGACAGGACAGACTGGATGTAGGGGTGACTCCCAAGTGTCTGGCTGGGGTTAATCTGTTGATGACAATACTGTCCTCACCTACTCCCCCCTCCATCCAAGTAGCTAATATGGAAAGAAAAGCAAAATTGTAGGGGAAGGTTATGGATTCAATGTTGGAAGTGCTGAATATGACTCCGGGTTACCTAGGTGAAGATTTCCAGCAGAAAGTTAACAAGAAGCCAAGAGGGAGGAAGTCTGGATAGCAGGCTGAAATTTGAATGTGCAAAATATTAGAGACACTAGGAATTTTGAGAGAACAGCCAGTTTTTTGGGGGTTTTGTTTGTTTTACTTAAGCCATTCTAATAGGTGGGTAGTGGTAGCTCATTGCAATTTAAATTTTTATTTCCCTAATATCTAATGATGTTTAGGATCTTTTTTTGTTTGTTTAGGATCTTTTAAAATGATTATTTGTTGTGTATCTTCTTTGGTGTCTATTCAAATCTTTTGCCCATTTTTAAACAATGAGCTGTTTTATTATTGCTTTTTGAGTGCTCCTTATATATTCTCCACACAAGTCCTTCATCAGATACATGCTTTGTAAATATTTTCACAGCATGTGGCTTCAACAGTCTTCTGAAGAGCATAAATTTTTACTTTGTTGAAGTCCAATTTGTCAATTTTTTCTCATCATGCTTTTGGTCTAAGAAATATTTGCCTAAATAAGGTCACAAATATTTCCTCCTATGTTTTCTTCTGGTATAGGTTTAGGTTTTTCATTTACATCTATGATCCATTTTGAGTTTTTTGGGGCGTGTATGTGGTGTGAGGAATAGACCAACGTAATGAGAGGGGGTAAAACCAGCCAGGAAGAGTTTATAGATAGGAAGTGCAAAAATGTGGATGGAACCTGGGAATGAAAAAAAGCCAAGATTCAAGGAAGCAGAGTTCGGCATTGTAGGGGAGGCAACAGGAAAATTCTGAGTAACCAGCACTGCCTGCTGAGAAAAGCAATGACAGCTGTCTTTTCAACTTGGATGAGGTCACCTTGGGAAGAGCATTTTCAGTCAAAACAAATCTTCTCTATTCATAATCACATGTAACCAACAGCTTTATAAGAATTCCCCCGGCAGAAACACTTGAGAGGTCTGAACTCCCTGAGCGCTATTAAAGGTCACTTCTTTAGGTACAGGAAGATCTGGGATTCCTGACACTGAGGGTGACCGAAGCATCCTTGGGGCACTCCAGGCATAAGGTCAAATCAGAAGCACACTCACTGCTGGGTTTGCCAATCTGACGCTTCACCAGAAGACACCTAGTTGAACTACAGGAGGATGAGAAGGGGGGATTAAAATCTGTGCACTCGGGAAAATCCGGGGACAAATCAGGAAAATCCTTCCCGCCCTCCCAGTTTCTGGAGAGGAGGAGTAGGACGCAAGGCCCCTCCACACTTTCTCCCACGTGGCTCCTCTCCGGCAAAGAGCTACTGCACTTACCCAGGCTTAGGAAGCGGGTGTTTAAGCCATGGGTTAGGGGGATCGTGAGCACGCCCGATCTTTTCCCTGAGGCAATGAAAGGGGTGCTCCACGGACTCCTCTCGGCCGACTGACCTTTCGCCGCCCTGCCCCAGCGGCCGACGGGTTTCTACCCGTGAAGCGGGGGCTCTAGTCTCCGCAGCCAGCTAGCGGCTAGCCCGGCCCCCTCCCGCTAGTCGTAAAGTGCAGTAAAGGCACCAGCATTTTGCGGCACCGTAGGTGAGGCCGGCGGCGTGGGTCCTTGCGGTGCGTGGAGCCGGCGCTTTGGTAGTTCCTTCTGCGGAAAGACGGTAGTTTGGAATTTGGAAAGGCCAGGGAACTAGGTACGATTCTGTCAGCGGGTAATTGGCTGCTCCTAGGTTTGTGTAACAAGCGGTAAAAGTGGTAGGGTTGTTTAAAACCTCTTATCCCAGTCCTTAAGCGTGACATATGCTTCCCAAACCCCTCCTTGTGACTTGCCGCTTCTCTTGTGCTACTTTGGTTGTCACCTTCGTGTTCATCACTAGATTTTAGGTGTCCTCGGTGTAACTGACGGTTTTTCTGTCCACTTCGTCTTGCAGTCTCTCTTCTCCTGAAGTTTGAAATGCTTTATCTCATCGGCTTGGGCCTGGGAGATGCCAAGGACATCACAGTCAAGGGCCTGGAAGCTGTTAGACGCTGCAGTCGAGTGTATCTAGAAGCCTACACCTCAGTCCTGACTGTAGGGAAGGAAGCCTTGGTAGGTGCTGAGCGTTCCCCAGCCTCCTGGGAAGAAAGCTATCTAACATCTGATTTTCATACACTAAGCTGAACAGAATTTTCAGGTCTGCTTGTTTAAACCCTTTGAAACGCATCCTTTGTTCATTAATGATCTGAGGAGCAGAAGAATGGAAATTATACACCAACCAAGTGACTTGGAAAATGAAAGTGTGCTTTGTCCTATTTTACAAGTCTAATTTTGTGGCTTTCTCCAGTAAATAGGAAAGCCATGTTATACTCTTGGGGGATAGTTATCAAAACCCCTTATTTCATGAGGTAGTCAAGAAATCCTTTTTGAGTTGAGTGCTAATGAGGTGCTGACACAGCCTTAATGAGTTGGTTATATATTCAGAAACCAAGCTGAAAGCTTCCTCCTTTGAAGTATGTCCATAGGGAATGGTGATTGCCTTTCTATATCATATCCAGAGAGATCTTACCTTAAATAGACTATCTCCCAATAAGGCTTATACTGATACACTTGTATACATTGAGTGAGCCTGGACTTAATATATACAAATGTATGAGTATACAGTTATATGAGTATACACTAAGTAACCAGAATATTTGTTAGTGTATTATACATTTAGTTGGCCCTCATAAGGGCCCAGTAAATTTGAGGGAAGGGTCAACTCCAGGTTCATTGTCAAACTCTAAGTAGAATGTAAATCAAATGATTAATACATATGTTGTGGGAGAAGAGAGTAGATTTTTAGAATTGTCTTTGTCCTGTCTTCCAAACAAAAAATTGACTTAAAATTTTTAGGCCTTAGATTACTTTAACATTTGAAGAAGGAATTAAGAACTGCTAGTTGAATTGGCCATGCATTTAAATAAAAGTTGTGTGTAAAGACCAACTTTGATATATACATATACGTGGAGAGAGAGAGAGAAAGTAAGTCTTGCCCTGTTGCCCAGGCTGCGGTGTAGTGGTGCCATCATGGCTCACTGCAGCCTCAACCTCCTGGGCTCTAGTATCCTCCCACCTCAACCTCCTGAGTAGCTGGGACTACAGGTGGGTGCCACCATGCCCAGCTAACTTTTTTGTATTTTTTGTAGAGACAGGTTTTTGCCATGTTGCCCAGGCTGGTCACAGGTTCCTGGACTCTAGCGATCCGCCTGCCTCAGCCTCCTCAAGTGCTGGGATTATGTAGGCATGAACGACCACACCCAGCCTAAGACCAGCTTTCATTTAAAAAAATTTTTTTTCCTCATTTTTTCACTCTTAGGATAGAACCAAAATATCTAAGCTCAGAATGATAGAAATGTGCCTCTCTAATCAGTGATTAAGGAAAAGTAGAAGGAACTTAATACCATCAAGAAAAGAGAGACAAATAACAAAACAGCAGTTTGATAGAATGACATATCAGGGGATGGCATAGAGGAAAGTTTGGATAAAGTTTTATCTTTGCTTTGTTACATGTTTTTGTGACCTTGGACAAGTCCTTTAACTTTAGTGACTTTTCTAAATAGGGTAAAAACCACCTACTTTAGGTGTTGAGCATAGGTCTTAGCATAGGTTCTTAGCTATGGTACATGGCACAAAAGTGTTCAGAAATAGAAATTGTCAATGGTCACATTTCCAAACTTCTCTGAACCTCAGTTTCTTCATTTGTCAAGTGGGAATCCAAGCAGTTATCCTGTCTCAGCCTCCTGAGTAGCTGGGATTACAGGCGTGTGCCATTGTGCCTGGCTAATTTTTGTATTTTTAGTAGAGATGAGATTTCACCATGTTGGCCAGGCTGGTCTCGAACTCCTGACCTCAGGTGATCCACCTGCCTCGGCCTCCAAAGTGCTGGGATTATAGGTGAGAGCCACTGCGCCCAGCCGAGGTCTGCCACTTGACCTCTACACTGTACTGTGTCTCTGTATTCTTAAGGATAGATAATAGCTACACAAAGTGTAACTTCACAGAACACCTACAGAGAAGGTAGGATTCAAGCAAAATGGTCAATGCTGGATCCTGCCCTACTTAATAATTTATTCATGTACTCCTTTGTTTGACAGATATTATTGAGTACCAGATACCACTGCACTACAGCAATCCTTATAACTTTTAATAACTCACTCAAAGTTCTCAGTATGTAAGAAACCGTATTATTTATCTATGCATCCAGTTTTACTCCATTTGAATTACTTATTACTTCTCAGGAAATCAGTTTTAAGATTCATGCCTCTTCATTCTGTACTGGCTGATGAAATGAAAAAAAAAAAGGATTCATGATCTTGCATAACAGCCTGTAACCACTATCAGATGACTACCAGCTTACTAGCTCACTCTCTACTGAATTTGTTCTCTAGAGTTGAGCTGTAGGGAATTAAATCACAAAGCAGTTTGTTTGCAAACTTCCTACATATTTAGAATTCAGTTATTGCTCCTGCAACTCTGCCTTTTTAGCAGAAACTAAGGAATATACTTTTAAATTACTATCTTCTGTATTTATGTAGGAATGTTCACTGGTTCTGTAAACAGCTAAATTTCTATTGTTTTTCATTGGTGCTGCCTTTTTTTTTTTTAGCTGAGTTTACATATGTTTAACCACTGAAAATTTAATAAAAGCTAAACCACCATGTTTGTTTAAACTTATTGTTTAATATATTTATTCCATATTACATCATGTTTCTGAAGTAGGGCTCATGTGTGTACATATTCCGTATTCATCCTATAGTGTTCTACTTGGCCTTTAGAAACAAATTTAGAAATAAATTAAAAATGCAAAAAGCCTCAGATGTTTAGAGGTCTGTCTCCTTTGGGATATTAAGACAGCCCCAAAGACAGAGTTTAATTGCAACATGATATAAAGTACTGGCTCACTGATGAGTTGTATTGAACGATCTGTGTTTGGGTGGTTGCCAAGATATGCACCAGTCCCAAACAAACAGTATGTGTGTGTGTGTGTGTGTGTGTGTGTTAGAATGGTCACCTGCTGTCTTTTTATCTTGATATTGGACTTATATCTGTAGGAAGAGTTTTACGGAAGAAAATTGATTCTTGCTGATAGAGAAGAAGTGGAACAAGAAGCAGATAATATTTTAAAGGATGCTGATATCAGTGATGTTGCGTTCCTTGTGGTTGGCGATCCGTTTGGGTAAGTCAAGGCAGATAGTTTTGAGTTTTTAACTCATTTACTTTTTTTTAATCAGTAAGAATTATTCTATTGCATTTAAAACTTACCTGCCAGGAACTCTGTTTACTTAAGCTCTATCTAAAATGTTGTAGTTTAAACTTTCATGATCTTTGAGATTAATGAAGAAAAGCTACTTGGTAAATATATCATCATATGTATCACTGTATTATCAAGTGTCAACTGTAAAGTTTGTATCATTGCTTCTGCTGTTTTAGAAGGTCATGTAGGGCAACAAATGCCTTAACTGGTATATCATTATTAAATAGTTCATTACAGTTCATTACATTATCAAAAGTCACGCCTGCCATTTGCTGCTGATAATTTCAAGCATCTTTGACTTCTTTTGTCCTGGGTTTTTTTTTTCCCTTTTGTAATCATCTACCATTTGGCAATACTGCCATCACTTTGCTTGCCTTGAATTTATCGTTTATCAAGTCTCTGATTTCAATTTATTATACCCATTGGGAACCCTGTTCTTTGTCATTACCATGAAGATGGGCTTCTACTGCCTAGTCAAGCATCATCAATCTCTAATGTCAAGTCAAACAGAAGAGTTTTTTGTCTAAAGCTGGTTACCTGAGATTTATATCACAGATTTAAGGAACATAAGGACCATGTAAGACCTTGGAGGGGACTAGGAATTTAATTTAAATATAGTGGTAAACTTTTGCAGGATTCAAAGCAGAAAAAGTCAAAATCTGATTAGCATTAAAAGATCACTCTAAATGCTTAGGTAAATGGATTTCAGGGAGGCAGGAATGTTTTGGGTGGAAAAGAGAAAAAGATGGGAACATATTTAGAAGAAGAATGCCAAGATGGATGTGGTAGATAAGGAAAAGGAAAGGAGTAAATCTGACTCCCAGGATTCTAGCTTTATAAATGAGTGGTTGATAGTGTCACTTGAAAACTGGTAAATAACAGGATTTGGAGAAACAAGAATTGATTCTGGAAATATGTTAACTTTGAGATGTCAAGTAGGCAGTTAGCTGCTGCTAGAGCTTGGGGGTGGGAGGTCATCCTAGATAAATGGCTTTTGAAGTCATCAGTATGTTTATGGTGTTTAAAGCTGGAGGAATGAGTAGAATCAGCTTAGGAGAGAAGAATGGGAAAAGAAGAGGACCTAGGATAGCCCTAGGAAACCTTGGAATTTCATCGTGTACCTAGAGCCAGAGGAGGAGGGAGAAAAAGCAAGAGAGTATGTTGTCACAGAAACCAGGAAAAGAGACTGTTTCAAAAAGGAAGGACTGAATAGCTTCAATATAATACTGAAAGTTTGACTGTAAGATGAGGATAGAAGTATGTGTATGAATTTAAAGACACGATGTTTGGAGTTGATTAGTGGTGGTTTTTATGGAGGGGTTGGAACCTGAGCTGGGTCTGGCTAGGGTTCAACAGATACAGATTATGGGGTGGGTCAGGAGAAAGGTAGAAGGAAGAATGCTCATATAAATGAAAAAACTGAGGTACAGAGAAAGTACCTTAATGTAATTGCTCCCATGCTCAAAAACCTTCAGTGACTTCTCATGACCTTAAATCTTGAAGTCTTTCTTTTTTCTCTAGCTACTCTAACTGCTATGCTAGAACCAAATTGTGCAACTTTCCATTTCATAAGTGTTTTATAATATTCTTCCCCCATTTCTTTGCTCAAGCTTTTTCCTTAAAACAGTTCTTCTCAGTTCCTAATTATACCTAATTGTACTATAAAATTAGTATACAGCTCAGATGCTACCTGTTTCATTCCTGTTTTATTCAGGAGTGCCTTTTTTTTTTCATTTTAAACTCCTTTAATTTGCTGTTTCTCAGTGATTCATCATATATAACCTTGTGTTTAAATTCAGATTTAAGGAATATTTACTGTACTGCAGTTATTTTTTATTTAAGAGCAGATTATTGTTAGGATGTAATAGTTGAAAATGGCATGGTGGGGAATGTGTAATTTTAATTGGAATTTGAGTGGATTAAATGGAGGAGAAGTCAGGTAAGGAATATAGACGGCAGCAAGGCATTGAAATTCTTAGATATCAGCCAAAAATATCCCTTATTTAATTTTAAGACCCCTTCTTATTTAAATAAAATATATAAAAAGAGAAGATTGTTTAAGATGCTGAATCTTAAATTCTTTTTTTCAATATTTTTAAAATGGTAAAATGACACATGACAAAATGTGTCATTTTAACCATTTTGGTGTATAGTTCAGTGGCATGCTAAGTACATTCACATGGTTGTGCAATTATCAGCACTGTCCATCTCCAACAATATGAAGTTCTTGAAGACAATTAAAAGTCATGGTAAAGTAAGTTCATGTAGTCTCATCTTTGTTCTTCTACCCAGGTTATTGAAAGGAATATGGAAATAGATCACACAAAGAAAGTAAATGAGTCTAAAAAAATACTAAATCAATAGAACTTAATCATTATGATAGTTGACGGTCTCAAACATTCTATCCCTAAATCTCTGCATAAGAAGTCTTTATTAAACACACTGTTTCTAATGATGGTTCTGTTTTATTATTCCATTCTGTATTTCAATATGCTCTGTAACTATATTATTATAATGAATACATAATTTTTATCCCTATGTTGTATGCCTTTTCCTTAGCGGCATACATGTTCAGATAATATGTCCTGATGTAGGCTGTGTGACTGCTTCCATTTCCATGTAATGAATGTGAACAGTGCTTGGCACCTAATAACTATAAAATCAATGTCAGCATTATTATTAGTCCATTTTTCTTCAATATAAATAAAGCTGTCACGTATAAATTTATGTATATAATACCTTCCTCCCTCCCACTTCTTTATCCCCGTATTTTAGATTGTTTCCTTATGGTAGATCCTCCAAAATAGGTTTTTTTAGGAATAAAATATCAAAAAGTGTGGACATGGAGATTTTCTAGCAAAAAGCATATTGTCAATTATTTTTCAAAAGGATAGTGCCAATTGTTAGTGCTTCCATAGTTCATGAAAACATCATTTTCACTATATCATTGCAAACATTACTGAATTTCTGGACCACCAGCCATACTTACGTCAAAAAGGGAGGCACTATAACATTTAAAACAAACATACCGGCTGGTGCGGTGGCTCATGCTTGTAATCCCAGCACTTTGGGAGGCTGAGGTGGGTGGATTGCCCGAGCTCACGGGTTTGAAACCAGCCTGGGCAACATGGCAAAACCCCGTCTCTACTAAAAATACAAAAAATTAGCCAGGTGTGGTGACAGGTGCCTGTAATCCCAGCTACTCGGGAGGCTGAGGCAGAAGAATTGATTGAACCTGGGAGGTGGAGGTTGCAATGAGCTGAGATTGTGCCACTGCACTCCAGCCTGGGCAACAGAGCAAGACTCTGTCTCAAAAAAAAAAAAAAATCAAATTTTGTATATTCAAATTGGCCACCTTTGTGTACTTTTATCGATTCCATTAATCAAAACATTTTTGGGTCTCCTTTTTTGAAATTGCCTTTAGAACAATTTCAAGTAACAAGCATATTATTACAGATTTATTACTATTTCTGAGCATACATACATATACACATATATGATTTTCGATAGAGCCATATACCTAGAAATAGTAAATGTGTGTGTGTGTATGTATGTGTCTACTCATTTTAAATAAACTTGTGATAGAGATGTAATTTTGAACCAGATTTTCTTTTTCATGTACTTAAATAACTCACCAAGTAAGTAATTTAGTTTTCTTGACTCTTAATGTTAAGTAGTGAGATTCTGTTGAAGGTGATACTTAAAAAAATGCTTTATAATTGATATTCATGTTTTTTTTTTAAAGCTTATTTGAAATCAAATTAATGATTATGTTTCATACTAGTTTTATTTTATGTATGTGATTAAAAACAAGCTTCCTTGGTGGGCATTTGTTAACATATTATCTGACTGCTTCATGGGGTGAAAGCCCTTGATCTTCCTACTTGGTATGCACTGACCAGTCGACAGGTTCTGCTTGTTTGCATGTGATTTCTCAGACATGCTACTGTTGCTTTACCCAGTAGGGCCTGGAATTTTTATCAAGAGGGAAAAATGTCTTTAAAATGCAGTTCTAAATTGATAAGGGGTTACATTTCACTGTGTTCATATTTATCTATATTCTCTCTTTACTCCAATCTACCTACTTATAATCTTGAGATTTATCTTAAAAAAGGAAAGACAGCAGGTCAGATATGCACACACATGTACATGTGCATACACACATCCTAATTATACACAGTAATCAAATGAAAACAGTTATAAATAAAATGACTGCTAGACAGGTATAAAATCCAATATTATATGAGATAGGACTCTCATGTAAAGACTGAGTGACAAGCTGTGAAAATTTATTCTCAGGCATACCTTGTTTTATTGTGTTTTGCTTTATTTCATTTCACATACATTGCATTTTTTAAAAAATTGAAGGTTTGTGGCAACTTTGCATTGAGCAATCCTGTTGGTGCCATTTTTTCTGACAGCATGTTCTCACTTCCTGTCTCTGTGTCACATTTTGGCAATTATTGTGATATTTCAACCTTTTTCATTATTACATCTGTTAATGGTGATTTGTGATCAGTGATCTTTGATGTTACTATTGTGCTTTGGGTTGCCACAAACCAAGTGCATATAAAATGGTGAACTTAATTGATAAATGTTGTGTGTGTTCTGACTGCTCCCACCAACCAGCCATTCCCCCAACTCTCTCTCTGTCTCCTTGGGCCTCCCTTTTACCAGAGATACAACAATATTGAAGTTAGGCCAATTAGTAACCCTACAATGACCTCAAAGTGTTCAAATGAAAGAGTCACATGTCTCTCACTTTGAATCAAAAGCTAGAAATGATTAAGGTTAGTGAGGAAGACATATAGAAAGCCAAGAGGCTGGGTGCAGTGGCTCACACCTGTGATACCAGCATTTTGGGAGACTGAGGCAGGCAGATCACCTCAAATCAGTAGTTCAAGACCAGCCTGGCCAACATGGCAAAACCCCGTCTCTACTAAAAAATACAAAAATTAGCTGGGCATGGTGGCGGGTGCCTGTAATCCCAGCTACTCGGGAGGCTGAGGTAGGGAGAATTGCTTGAACCCGGGAGGTGGGGGTTGCAGTGAGCCAAGATCGCTCCACTGCACTCCAGCCTGGGTGACGTAGCGAGACTCTGTCTCAAAAAAGAAAGCCAAGATAGGCTGAAAACTAGGCCTTTTTCACCAAACAGCCAAGTTATGTATGCAAAGGAAAAGTTCTTTTTTTTTTTTTTTTTCGAGAAGGAGTCTCACTCTGTCGCCCAGGCTGGGGTGCAGTGGTGCGATCTCGGCTCACTGCAAGCTCCACCTCCCGGGTTCACGCCATTCTCCTGCCTCTGCCTCCCGAGTAGCTGGGACTACAGGCACCCGCCACCACACCCGGCTAACTTTTTGTATTTTTAGTAGAGATGAGGTTTCACTGTGTTAGCCAGGATGGTCTTGATCTCCTGACCTCGTGATCCGTCTGCCTCGGCCTCCCAAAGTGCTGGGATTACAGGCGTGAGCCACCGTGCCCGGCCAGAAAAGTTCTTAAAGGAGATTAAAAGTGCTACTCTTAGAAATGCACAAATGATAAGGAAGTAAAACAGACTTATTGCTAATAGGGAGAAAGTTTTAGTATTCTGTATAGAAGATCAAACCTGCCACAATATTCCCTTAAGCTAAAGTCTAATCCAGGGCAAGGCCCGAACTCTTTTCAAGTCTGTGAAGGCTGACAGGGGTGAGGAAGCTACAGAAAAATAGTTCCAAGCTAGCCGAGATTGGTTTATGAAGTTGAAGGAAAAAAGTTGTCTCTATAACATAAATGTGTGAGCTTTTATGGATAACAAAATGTGGAAACAAGTTATCCAGAAGGTCTAGCTAAGATAACAGATTTTCAGTGTGGATGAAACAGCCTTCTATTGGAAGAGGATGCCTTGTAGGACTTTAATTGCTAGAGAGGAGAAGCGAATGCCAGACTTAAAAGGACTGGCTAACTCTTGGTAGGGCTAATGCAGCTGGTGACTCTAGGTTGAAGCCATTGCTCATATATATAACCTTATGAAAATCCTAGGGCCTGTAAGAATTAAGCTAAATCTGTTCTCCCTGTGTACTGTAAGTGGAACAAGAAAACCTGAATGACAGCACATCTGTTTACAGCATGGTTCACTGAATACTTTAAACTCACCCTTGAGACCTATTGCTCAAAAAAATAGATTTCTTTCAAAACATTATTGCTCATTGATAATGCACTTGGTCACCCAAGAGCTCAGGCAGTGTACAAGATTACTGTTGTTTTTATGCCTGCTAACCCAACATCTATTCTACAGCTCATGGATCAAGGAGTAATTTTGACTTTCAAGTCTTTTTATTTAAGAAATACATTTTGTGAGGCTATAGCTGCCCTAGATAGTGATTTCTCTGATGAGTCTGGGCAAAGTAAATTGAAAAACTTCCAGAAGGGATTCACCATTCTAGATGTCATTTAAAATACTCATGATTCATGAGAGGAGGTAAAAATATCCACATTATTAGGAGTTTGGGAGAGGTTGATTCCAACCCTCATGAATGACTTTGAGGACTTCAAGACTTCATTGCAGGCAGTAACTGTAGATATGGTAGAAATAGCAAGAGAACTAGAATTAGAAGTGGAGTCTGAAGATACGACAGAATTACTCCAATCTTAGGATAAAACTTGAACAGATGAAGAGTTGCTTTTTAAGGACGGGCAAAGAAAGTGGTTTCATGAGATGAAATCTATTCTTGATGAAGATACTGTGAACATTGCTGAGATGACAACAAAGGATTTAGAATATTACATAAACTTAGTTGATTAGATTACTGGCAGGGTTTGAGAAGATCGGCTCCAATTCTGAAAGAGGTTCTACTGTGGGTAAAATGGTATCACACAACATTGCATGCTACAGAGAAATCTTTCATGAAAGGAAAAGTCAATCAATGCAGCAGTTTTCATTGTTTTATTTTAAGAAATTGTCACAGCCACCCCCATCTTCAGCAACCACCACCCTGATCAGTTAGCAGCCATCAACATGGAGGCAAGACCATCCACTAGCAAGAAGATTACGACTCACTGAAGGCTCAGATGCTTGTTAGCATTTTTTAGCAATAAAGTATTTTTAAACTAAGATGTGCACATTTTCTGGACATGATGCTATTACACACTTAACAGACTACAGTTTAGTATAAACATAACTTTTATATGTATAAGAAACTAAAATAATTAATGTGGCTGACTATATTTTGATATTTACATTATTGTGGTTATCTTGACCTAAACTTGCAGTATCTTCACGGTATATCTGTATATTCTGCCTTATATTTTAAATACAAAAACAAAGCCTTCAAAATAGAGCAGTGATTCTAGTTGTGCCCTAATTTAGAATTTTAGAGCAGTAATTTTAAGAATTTAAAAGGGCTCTGAGACCAAAGAGCTTAAGAATTGCTGCTCAAGAGTTAAGTTGCTGAGCTTATATTTCTTAGATGTCTTTTCAGGTATTTACAGGACAAAGGGCAAGTAAAGGTCCCTTTAAGTAGCTGCCAAGGCTGCTTTTGGAGTGTTATAGTAGCAACTCAGCATTTTGAAGGGCAGGTTTAGTCTTGCATTTTCTTGCTAAAAAGCTCAGATGAAACCTTTATGCAGGCGTGTAGAAGAATTTGAAGAAATGCAGTGCTCCTATGTCTTTAATTGACATGAACTCAGGAAATATTATAGCTTTACTGTCTTGAAAGTGTTGTTTGCTTTAATCCAATCTAATCTTTTCTCACTACAGGGCTACAACACACAGTGATCTTGTCCTAAGAGCAACAAAGCTGGGAATTCCTTATAGAGTTATTCACAATGCCTCCATAATGAATGCTGTAGGCTGCTGTGGTTTACAGGTAATGCAACAAAGGAGGTTTTTCAGTGGAATTAAACAAAAAGGTTTTATTTTTCCACAAATTGAAAATACGTTTATTTGTATTTTATGAATCATAAAACATACTATTATTTGATACTAGACTACTTAGTATATACATATTCTGAATTTTTTAACACTAATTTTTTTATGCTAGGTTTTCCACCTTATTGGAGTAGAATATTTAGATTTAACTAGAAAATTGTTTTAACCTTATATCCAACTTGTACTTACATAAAAAGGAAAATATAAACTAATCCAAATGACTTACTCAGCATTGTCAAGGTCCATGATTTTTCATACAGTATTGTTTTGTGTGCTGTCAAGAGCATTGTGATGCTGCATTTCTTAATAGAATCAGTATAAAAGCTAAACGCCAGGGATGTAGGCTTTTAAACCGGATTTGCAGTTATTGATGTGTAAAGTTGGTCATTTTTTGTGTCCAACAGTCTTGGTTCTAAGGGGTTAGAGTGCCCCACAATTGTTTCCAAGATTTACTTCTTAGCTACTGACATTCATTTTCCAAGCTTGGTGTTTGTATTCTGATGTTCACACATGGATAATCCATGACAACTATGACTGCTGCTTGGCTAACAGTGGTTTTAAGACATCATCGATTGTTAAGACATAGTCCTATTTTCAGATATATCGTAACAGGAAAACAACATGCATCTTAGAATCTATGAAATAAAGTATTCCCCAGTGTGTCTTCCTGAAACACATAATTTAAAAATAGATACTTTCAAGAAGATATGTTAGCATCAGGCACCAATTCTATGTCTATAGCTTTAGAGGACTATATTTTCTGTATGACTTGGAGAGAATAGTTCAATTTAATTGACTAATACTGGCTTTTTATGTCAAAATGTTGCCTGTGTTTGTGAAGAACTAGAGAAAAAGTATAAATGATTGACCTGACAGTATTCACCACTTGCTCTTAGTTGTTATGTTTAAATTAGCATGGAATTTTGCTATCTTTTTTGCCCAGAATGCATACTTTTAAAAAACCTTGCCCATTCAAGTCTTTTTTTACAATTTGAAACCCTTCTGAACATTTCTGTGTTGGAGTAAGTTGAATGCTGTTCATAAAACCATAAAGTGTTAGTGCTACAAAGAATGCTATAGGGATGGAGAAAATGATGCCAAAATATGTTCCCAAGGTCATTCAGGTAGGTGGTAGCATAGATGGAGCTAAAACTCTTGATCCCTAGTCCAGTATTCTTCCCTTCTGCGGGTGTCCAAGGGAGAGAAATCTTAGTTTCTGTTGCTGGTTGAGCCAATAAAGCCGCTTCCTCATCTCTCTTTTCTGCTTATCACTAGAGACAGAAACTAAAAACCAAGGCTTCAGGCTGCTAAAAGCCTAAAACACAACAAAACAGAAAAACAACCACAAAATAAGGCGGATTGGACAAGCTTGTGACAGTGCTGCCTTTTAAGAATTGATAACTGATGGCTGGGCGCGGTGACTCACGCCTGTAATCCCAGCACTTTGGGAGGCCTAGGCGGGTGGATCACCTGAAGTCAGAAGTTCGAGACCAGCCTGGCCAACATGGTGAAACCCCGTCTCTACTAAAAATACAAAAATTAGCTAGGCGTGGTGGCAGGCACCTGTAATCCCAGCTTCTGGGGAGGCTGAGGCAGGAGAATCACCCCAGCACGCAAGGCGGAGATTGCAGTGAGCCGAGATGCCACCATTGCACTCCAGCCTGGGCGACAAGAATGAAAACTGCCTCTCAAAAAAAAAAAAGAATTGATAAATGCTAGAAGAAAGAAAAAAAGGAGAGAAATTATCATTTGATAAATAAAGATGTGTAAACCTTAAGCTAATAGAACATACATTTTTATCATATTTCATATAATTTTATGTCTTGTAAAGAAAGTTAACTAGCCCTTTCTCCATCATATTTTGCTCTAAATTATAGCTATTTTAAATTATTTTTTTTGCTTCTTTTTTAAGCATAAAAATAGAACACATCCCTTGTAAATCTGTTTTATAAACTGGTTAAAACTAAACCTGGGTGATCCTGTCCTTCTGATCCTCTACATTGATAGACAAGTAAAGTGTAATTGTTCTTATGTCTAAAATGGGTGAAGGTATTTGAGTGGGAATTTACTGTGAGAATTAGCAGTCTTCATATAAGCACCTATAGTCATATCCATATATAATATATTATTTTTCAAAAAACTTTCTCACAATTGTGTGCGGGATTTCTCTAAACAGCCACACACCATTTTTACCCCAGCTTAGTTTTATTATCTAATCTGAATATGAAACGACTATTTGTGTGAGAAACAGGAGGTGCCTTTGTAGGTTCTGTCTTATATAGTGATGACATTTCCATGAGGATATACTTCTTGTACCACTGAAATTCATATCAGAAGAGGTAATTACTGATTCATTTTATACAGTTTTCTAATATAAAAAGCATTACAAATTTTAAAATAAATGTATAGATATCCTGCATAATGCAAGTTCTTTGACAAAGTCCTCTTCCTTATAATAGCTGGCCTTTTTACTATTTGGACTAGTGCTTATGGAATAAACCATAACCTAAATCTGTGGTTCTCAGACTTTAGTATTTATTAGAATCACCTGGAGGGCTTGTAAGACAGGTTGCTGGGCTTCATCTTCAGACTTTCTGATACAGTAGATATGGGATGGGGTCTGATAATTTATATTTCTAACAAATTCTCAGATGATGCTGAACCTATTGCTACAGGTACCATACTTTGAGAACCACCAACCTAGACAAATTAAAAACTTAGAAAGTGAGAGAACTGTATTATCTTTCATTTGACATGGCAGGATTGGAAGAGTAGGTTTTTAATTCCCAGTATACACTTGTTAAATGTAGGCTTTTGAGGGGTTATCTTGCCATGCTCTCTTGCTCAATTTTTTAAAAGGGAAGTGAGAACCACTGTGAAAAGGCATTCTGTCATCTCCATGAAAGAGCTTTCCATGAGTTCAAAAACAGTCATCAAGTTATTGAACAGAAATATACTTTGGATGTTGTGACAAACCTGAACCATATATGCTTTCTAACGTCTTTGACTTAAAGAGTAGCAGTGTGAAATTTCTAACCTAGAAATAGGCAGACTTTTCAGCTATCAACATATCAACCCCCTTTGAACTATTCTGTTGTTTTTGTTGTTTTCTAAAGAAATAACATGCAGAGTTCAGAATCAACCACTGAGTATTTGTTCATTACCTTTGTAGTTTTATTAGCCAACAGAAAATTTTTGTTTATCACTATGATGGTAAAAATAGTTGTTTATCTAACACTCCTTCATACACACAGACATTCACATACACAGCCAGTTGATATGCACTTAGAGGCTTGCCATAAAATAAAATTATCTACCACAAACTCCATATTCTTGATGAAAAATTTCCTTGTAAAATAAAAAGTGTATTAGAGGCTTCTAAGTTAGACATCTTTAAAGAGAATAGTGATCCATTCATTCAACAAATACTGTTAACCTACTTATTTTTCTAAGTGCCTTTGGATACAGTAATAAACTTGACCAATAGAGTCCCTGCTCTCAAAGAGCTTCTATTTTAGTGGGCAGAAGAGACAACAACAATAAAATGATAAATATTAGATATTGGTAAGTATAAGAAATTCAAGTAGACTGGAATTTAGAGAGTGACTAAGTCACTACTGAGGTCGGGGAGGTATCTCTAAGAAGGTGACATTTAAGATTAGATATGAATCAAGAAGGAACCAGCATATTCTATACAGAGGGAACAGTCGGTACAAAGGTCCTGAAGTGAGAATGAGCTTGGCTTGTTAAAGGAACCAAGGAAAGGCTGTTGGGCCGTAGCAGGCAAGGGGAAGAGTGACCTGAGGTTGGATAGGTGGACAGGGCTGGATCACTAGACTCTCATCCAACATTAGGAGTTTAGATGTTATCGTAAGTGACATAGATTGACATTGAAGGGTTTTAAGCAATAGAAATACTTGATCTGATAAATTTTTTAAAACATAATCTTTGGCCAATATGTGAAGATTGAATTACTGCCAGGCAAGATTTGAATTGAGGAAATCAATTAGGAGGCTAATTATAGTCATTTAGAGGAAAGATGATGTTGGCTTGTACTGTATGGAGTATGGCATAAGAGAAGATTTAGAAAGTGAACTTAGGAACATTTTCTATTAAGAGAATTGAGATTGGGGGAGATGTAGAGAGCCACTTCTGCCTTACTGATAGTCTTAGGAAAGGAATTGGGGTCCTTATGCATCATCTTCACTATCACTGTTATTATGGTTTGTACCCCACAAAAACTTGTCTGTAGGGCTGGACTCTTCTATTACTATTGCTCAATTGGCTTCCTACTTTGGTTGGTTCTGTTAAACTTGTCATTGCTAGAGCAGTTGCCTCCTTTCAGTAAGAGCCCTGTGCCAGTCTTCCTGTGCTTTCAGGACCATAGATTAATCATAGAATTGATTATGTGGAAGAGTAGTATTATGTTTATCTTACTCCTAGACTCTTGAGGGTATGGATGTTGCTTGGAAGGCTCTACTAATGTCTTGGGAAGAGTTAAAGTCATGGGGTAGATATTAAGTACATGTATGTTAAATGAAAGAAGCCAGATATGGAAGACCATGTATTATTTGATTCTGTTTACATGAAGTGTCCCCAAAAGGCATATCTGTAGAGACAGAAAGTAATTAATGGTTGTTTGGGGCTGGGCATTACAGGGATTAACTGTGAATGGACATAAGGGGTCTTAGTTGGGTGATGAAAAATGTTCTAAAACTAAGTATGGCAATGGTTGCACAGCATGGTAATTTACTAAAAAGTGTTGAATTATACGCTTGAAAGGGTCATTGTTATGTGAATGATAATGCAGTAAAGTGGTTAAAAAAATGAATTATAAGAAGTTAGCTAGATAGGCAAAAGGGCAGAAGGCATTCCCAACAGAGAGAGAAGTGTAGTTAAAAGAGAGAGTCTTAGAAGCACTTTAGGGAATTTGTAAGG